TGGAGCCACTGTGAGTTGAAGGCCTGGCCTGTCCAGGTGTATTTGGGCCTGCTGCAGGCTTCCTATAGTTTTTATACTTTGTAATTCATTCATTCAATTCTAGCATGTAATAATTATTTGTAATAATAATTGGAGTATTAGTAAATTGGGAAACTGGGTTTTATTTTAACATTTGCATGAGAATGGGTAGAAATCCTGCTTATAGGTGTTTACTTTGCTCATTCTGCTATTGTGTTAGATAACCTGCCTATAGGTGTTTACTTTGCTCATTCTGCTATTGTATGTTAGATAACCTGCCTATAGGTGCTTACTTTATTCAAATACATTCTGCTATTGTATGTTAGATAATCTACCTATAGGTGTTTATTTTGCTCGAATATGCTCTGTAAATAACCTGCCTATAGGTGTTTACTTTATTCAAATACATTCTGCTATTGTATGTTAGATAACCTGCCTATAGGTGCTTACTTTATTCAAATACATTCTGCTATTGTATGTTAGATAACCTGCCTATAGGTGTTTATTTTTCTCGAATATGCTCTGTAGATAACCTGCCTATAGGTGTTTACTTGCTCGAATAAGCTCAATGGATAACCTGCCTATTCTTATTTTTAGATACCATGCCTATAGGGAATAAAATAACCAAAGTTCAATTTGCATTGCAGCATATTCATGAGGCATCATGTTCATAGGGTCATTTATAAATCTGCATTTTTTGAAGTCATACCCATAGGGTTCTTAATTGATTGATATGCTATTGTCATACTTGCTCATTTAGTATATAAGAACTAAAACCAGTTTCAATCATCAGGGGTAAGAATCATGTCTATAGGGTAATCACTATCTGTGTTAAGAACTAAAATCAGGCTTTAAAACACTGCATCGTTGAACACTAGTAGAAAGCATGCCTATAGGAACAACTAAGTAATTCTGAATATCTCTCGTGTTTATTACTGCCAAATACTGAGTAAATCACCTATATAGCTTATTTATAGGTTTCAACCGCTTATACTTATAATCAGTAAACAACTGTGCAGTCACCTAGAAATTACTTTGCATAACTGCTCGCATGATTAAAATCCAGAATCATATAGAAATCATGTATATAAGGCCTAACGACTTCAATTGTTGAAACTATCAAAACGCCTAATTTGTTTGCGTGCATTTGCTGCCTAAGTGTGGAGGCTAACCTGAGCCCTTATTTGCTTTTACATGAAAGTCCAATTTGTTTAGTCTAGAACCATCCAAAAAATAGAGGTACAAGCTCCTCCTAGGCCATAGGCAAGGGACGGGTAGTGCACGCATAGGGTACGATTTAGAATTGATTAGAGCACTTTAGGTAAATAATTTAAAGATAGTAATTGGGTAGCAGGAGATGATAGTCTGTGCCCGCTGAATAATATGAGTAACACCACCATCTTAGGGAGGTTATGAAGTATTATTTATGTTGTACGGGGTGATCCTTTAGGCTAAAGAACTTAGGACCCCCCCCCCC